CCCTAATGTGTAAATAATAATTCTGTAAATATATTTAATAATAAAGAGCGCCACACGCGCCCCATGGTGCTTCACCTAGGATAGATAAAAAAAAAAAAAAAAGGTGATTTAGAGATATTAAAAACACAATTATGTAAATATGCTTGCAATGAAGAACCTTATAATGGATCTTATGTATCATCTGTCGATAGTCCAACTCGATGGTAGAAAACTACAGGTGATGGTACTAAAGATAAATTATGTCTACTTTCTTCTTTAGCTGTTAAACTATTTTCAGTACATTCTCATGCAGCAAGTTGTGAGCGTATATGGTCACGTTGTAGATGGATTTTGGGAGATCGACATAACAAGTTGGAAACAAGAAATTTAGAATCAATAGTAAAAATAAGTTCTTATTTAATATCAAATGCAAAACAAGAATTACGCTTTTATAGGTTGGAATTAACAGAAGAGGAAATACAAACAGTTTTTCAGAATATTGATTTGTTTTCTGAAGATGATGAGAAAGAAGATTTTGATGATTTGAACGAATCCGAAGATTCTGTTGATTCTGAAGTTGAAGATCAAGACTTGGAGATAGAAAATTTAATAACTTTAAATGATATTGGGTCAAATAATAATGAAGAAGATATTAATGATGATAATAATTTAGATGAGGAATTGGATAGCAATGAAATTGAAAAATTTGACGAAGATAAATTTGGTGCAGAGTTTGAATCAATATTTGATAATTAAATTTAGGATCTTTTGCAATACAGGTGACACGTATTCTAAAACAATTGATTAATAATATATTTTATTAATATTATTATCTATACTGCAAGAGATCCTAAATTAGTCAATTATAAAAGTATCAAAGGGTATTTTATAAAAAAAAATATTTGAGTAAATTTTTTTAGATTTAAATAAAAAATTTATAGTATTTGGTTTATCATTAAAATATCTGTAAATTAATTTACTGACTTTTACATAATTCTTATAAAATTAATTTCATGATTATTATATAAAAATTAATTCATAATTATGACACAACTCCTAATAAATAAATATGTGTACAATATGAATACAACAAATTATGATAAATTAGGCAAAACAGCAAAAAATATGATATAATCAAAGAATCACTTCAGATATTTTTATTATAAAGAAAAGATCGCCAAGATAAAAAAAAAGAATCCTGACAGGTGAATTTAAGACTTATATACATATATCTTATAATTCATTGTTTCTTACTTTCCTGAAGTCTTGTTTTTCTGAATCTTATTTTCTTATATGACATATTTCCAATGACTCATTTTACCAATAGAAATTTTTACCGAATGATTAAGCAATTTTCTAACAGCCCGATTTCTTAACATAATATATAATAATAGGCTTTTTTACTGACAAGTTCTTTTCTTGAAAATGGATTGTTAGTATTATAGTTTTGGTGAAATGGTGTTTTAGTAAAATAGATTTGGAAAGTTAACCTATAACTAGCATAATTTGGTATATATGCTGTAATTTATATAAATGCTATATTTTATTATAAATATGAGAATTGCTATTAAATACCAACCACCTAATAAGAAATAATCCACATAATATATGTGTACCAGATTAAGAAAAATTTTTAATAATGCACAAAAGGCAATTTTTTGAATTATAGCTGATGTTTGACAAAACGAATGTTTGCTTTGCAGTGTGCTACATCGAATTCAGTCATCAAATTTTAATTTAACTATGAACATGACCTTTTTTCTTAGTTAAAAATTATAGTACCATGTCATAACATGAACAACCTAACTGATAGTATCACAACCACAAAGAATTTCAACAATACCTTCAACCTTCATAACTACAGTAAGTCGCGTTTGCTATAACATAGTTCCTGTCTCTAGCTAGATTACTTACTTTATTCTAATCAAAACACAAACTATAGTATAAAATCGATCTATAGTCATGCCAACAAAATTTGTCAATCCCATGATCTTGAGATAATCAGTTTCAAAATCTAGTATCAAACAAAACAGATACAATTAAACAGTAGCAATATTACCCAATCTATTTGAGACATCTCAAATTATGTTATAAATACAGGTTTTGGCCATTAATTTCGAACACTCTTATCAAGAACAACCCACCCCAAATAATAAAAATCAACTAACAATTATTTAAAAGTAGGCGTGTCCAAAATTGATAGCCAAAACCTGTAATATCCAAACAATTTCGGCAGTAATAATATGGCAGTAAATCTTAATGTGATATTATTCTTCACATAGTTTGAAACATCCTAAATAGTTTGGGAAATATCACCTGGCATAGTCTTGAAAAGTAACTCAAGGATAGACAAGTAGAAGTAGACAGGTAGAGATGTGGATGCGAATGGGCAAGTGGAAATAAGAATGTGGACAGACAAAAGGATATAGATAGATAAATGGAGATAAGAATGTAGATAATTATATTAAAGAATTTCAGCTTAAAATAACGATACACAAAAATATTATCAAATAGACTTCGCTTGATAGACTGAACATAAAAAAAGGATTTGGCCTTGTATTTTCAGTAATTCAGTCGAATGGTATGTGAAAATTGATAAAAATCATAGAAATTACACCAAACCTTGTAAAAATTCTTCGTAGCTAAACTCATGACTTTTCAGGTTCAAAAGTACTATAAAAAATTCTGTTACAGAACTTACCAATTATTATAATTAACAAATTTACTGAGAATGATTAAAACGTGCCAGTGACGAAACCATGATGGCAGCAATGACAAAAACACGCTACCAAGAAAGCTACAGTGGCCTATTAACTATTAACACCTGGAAAAAAATATATATATAGGGGAATAAATAAATACAGGAATGATCAACAATTTATAGATCTGTGTTACTTAGAGATAGTGTTTAATAAAACCATTCTGAATGGTTTTTAGATTATCTCTAAATTTATATAGATTTTTATTATATATAATATTAGAATATTTCTATTATATTACTAATTTAGACATTTAGTTATATAAATATTTATTTAGTCAACTATTTAGACATTTAGTCATATAATATTTATTTAGTCAGCTATTTAGGCATTTAATTAAATTTAGGATTTCGACATTTTGACAAAAAATAATATTATATCGAAATATATTTAAACACTTAATTGTCTAAATAGTTGACTAAATAAGGTATTTCGACTAACAACATTAAAGCCAACTACAGGTTTTGTCTATTTAAACTCTTTGCATATGTAGTTCACTATGTCTCACAAGGACATCTTCAAGGCTATACCTATTCAAAGTATCTGATGCCTTTAAGGCTCCTTAAAACTAGTTTATCCTCAACAGGAAACTTACTAGAACCTTCTATGTTCTATATACAGCTAATCTAGTTTTATACAACATGCTATAATTATCTAATATTTGCAGTCACAGGGGTTATCTGTTTAACTGCTACATTACATTATTTCTAATCTTGTAAAGTTTACTAGAACACCAGTACCTATTATTGCAACATCTTCTTCATCATCTCTTACTAACCACTACTTAGGACTGACAGGACTTTCTCAACTTCTAATTCAGATAGCCTGATATGGTATACTTAAGTATTCTTTTCCTCTAGTGATTCTGGAAGTCTGGTTGGTCATATGCTTCTCTACACATCTTAACATCTGGTTTATTCACCTATCTCTTTAGAGATGTTTCATGGGATTCTATCAGTCTGACCATATTGTTAAAAGTTCATGCTACCTCTTTATTTAGAAATTTTTAAGTAAGCTTTCAGCTCTTTAGTTCCTTAGTTTACTATGCCTGATAGTCTTATCATGGGTTTGCACTGAAGTCTTATGCATCACTAGTTATTAACATTCCTCTATATATATGTAATATTACACTTGGTATAAATGTCCTGAGCTTCTATTTAAGATGGTGTGACTTAAAGTTACAGATACACAAATCCAACTGATCATTAAGAGACAGATTGCTGTAACACAGGTTAATTTTCAAATTTCATCATAAGTAGGATTTCTGCTACTTAAAGAATGACAACCTAACCATTACACTAGGATCATTATTCTCTAAAAGTGTTTTGTAGGCTTCAACTTGTCTAATAGTATCATAGAAAGTTTATGCTATCTCTTTATTTAGGAATTTCTAAATAAGTTTCTGGCTTTTTAGTTTTTTAGTCTTCTATGCACAATAGTCTTATTATGAGTTTGTATTAAAGTTTTATATAATATTAGTTATAAAATTCTTATATATATATATAATATTACATTTTATATAGATGCTCTAAGCTCCTAATAACAGATAGGATCTAACTTAATATATCTGGATTACAGCTACATGAGGCTAACCAATTAACAGAAGACAGTTATCTTTTTTTTTTTGGTATTAAGATAAAGCCTTGCTCATATTTTTATTAGTAATTTTAGTTGTATATATTAATATACTATATATTAAAAATATATTAAGATTGTAAAATACAATATAAAAACTATATACAAGAATTAAAGCTTAAACAACTTTATCTGTAATCTAAACTAGAAGACAGTTATCATAATACAGATTAATTTTTAAATTTTATTGTAAGTAGAATTTGAATATTAGATCTGCTACTTGAAGAATAACAATCCAATTACTATACTAGAACTATTATCTTCTATCTTTTGACTTTATTAACAGTTTTGTTAAACATATTTTTATATAAACATATATTTATATTGAACTATTACAGATAAGTATATAACTAGCTATATCTGTAACTTTTTTATATTATCTATTTAAGAAGTCATCCTAAAGATTTTCTACTAGTTGCTATATCTAACACTTTTTGCTTAGATGTTTTATTTAAATTTTCTGATTTGCAACCTTGTATTATTAACTTTACTAAGTTACTTAGAACCTAGATTTTTTCTCAACTTTAGAACAGCTATTCTCAAAGTAAATCTCTAAAGCCTTTTGTATTCTTATTTATAGCTTATCTGATTGTGCTATAGCCAAAACTAACACTTGTAGTCAGAACTATTTATTAAATTATTTTTATTCTTGTAAAGTTTACTTAAATTCTAATATTTATCTTTCTGATATCTTCTTCTTTTTTTTTTATTAACTGCTACTTAAAACTAATAAAACTCTTCAAACTACTAATTTAAATAGTCTAATGTAATATATTTATATATTATTTTTCTTTTGGCAATTTTGGCAGCCTGATTAGTGCATATGCTTCTTTTATATATCTGTTATTTAGTTTATTTGACAATTCTTTTAAAAGTATTTTATAGGTTTTCATTAGTTTAATAGCATTATCAAAAGTTTGTATTACTTCTTTACTTAGGATTTTTAAATAAACTTCTGTCTCTTTAGTTTCTTAGTTTTTTGCATCTAGTAGTCATATTATAGTTTTGTACTAAAACTTTATATGATATTAGTTTTTTATATTCTTCTATTTATATATAATATTATACTTCATATAAATGTCTTAAGCTTCCTATATTAGATAAAACTCAACTTGGTTTAGCTAAGATTACAAATATCTAAATTTAACTGATCAACAAAAAACAGTTATCATAATACAAATACAATTTTTAAAATTTGTCACTTACAAAAATTAAATCTTAGAACTACTACTTAGAGGTTAACAACTTATTTATTTTATTAAGTCATCATCTTCTATATTAATAATCTTTATAAAAAAAATATATTAGATAATAAATAGTATATT